TACGGTCCTAAGATTTGATACGTTTTCTGTCTTAATCTTGAACTTTGTCAGAGAAATCTGGAAAAATAGAAAATAAAAAAAACAGGGCAAAAAAAAAAAAAAAAAAAAAAAATGCAAAATCATGAATCCCACAAATAGCGGAGACGAAAACCGGATGCTTATGAGAAATAATAGTTTGTTTGCACTACGTGTGGCTCCTGTCATGATGTGGTCAGATCCGGGAGAGAATTTAGGTCACCAAGTATCTGGGACACATCTAAGACACAGATTATCGTGACAGACATAACAATGGCATTGTTGGAAACCAAGGTCGTGATGAAGACCTTTGCATTTCTTCAGCGTAGATTGAAGACTTTCATGTAGGTAACCCTTGCTTCGCTAAACTTCGTTTTTCTAGGTCGAGGCTCTGGAACAGTGAATCAACTGTTAACATCGTAAATAGTGGAAAATTCTTATATGGTTTTACGAAGGAAAATACATTTTACAATCGTCTTCACATAAAGACTCTGCAAATTATTGGTGAAATAAAATTGATCATAAGTTGTGATGTTTTACGTAGGTGTAGCAGATGACGGTTTGCCCTGTGTAGCGTCCAAAACGATTTCTACTAGGCGTCGCCACAGGTAATCGGTAAAAGCACAATACACATGGTCTACTTTAAACGAAGAAACTGCACTAAATGGTTTGTTCAAATATTTTGTACTAAAAAAAACATACGTTAGTGATGTCTACATATACGGAAACGATTAGTACTATTTACATAGTAACCTCACCACATCTGACTAGCAGAGAACAATCAAGGGAATACATTCTGGATGGACAAAGTTAGAAATAACATGGACAGTTTCTGCACTTGTCAAGGTAGATTGACAAGTTGTCGTATTGTTCATGAGCGTTCTTCCGTTAGGATCAGTACCTAGTAACCGGAGTGTAGTAAATGATGTGTTTCTTTCACAATGGTTCTGTGTTTAGAGTCAATTATCTGTCTCATTGATAATATTCATGGTGCTGTTTGAATTATTGAAAATCAGAATGGTTAATGGCTGCATCATCAAAGTGCTTGTCCAATCAGATTATCCTAAGAGGATCAGGTCGAACTTAGGATGGTTATTTGGTAATGTTTGCTGAAACAGGGGGAAGAAGCTTTAATACAAACGGCTCGCAGAGGATCAAGGGACGAAACTGAGGCTCACAGAGGATCAAGGGACGTAACTGAGGCTCACATAGTATCAAGGGACGTAACTGAGGCTCACATAGGATCAAGGGACGTAACTGAGGCTCACAGAGGAGCAAAGGGATGTAACTAAGACTCATAGAGGATCAAGGGACGTAATTGAGGATCACAGTGGATCAAGGGGCGTAACTGGAGCTTATAGAGGAGCATAGGAAAATAGCAACAATTCAAACTCACGGGGGAGTAAAGGAAATAACAATAACGTAGGTTCAGAGAGAACAATTAATATACGACATAATAAGAAGCGTTCGAGAAGATATGCACCATGTCCATCATCAGATTTCCTGACATAATAATGTAGCGGACTGGACTGGGTCGATAGTCGGCGACCAGGTAGCTCAATTGGTAGAGCATCCGTCTATAGTTCGGAGGGTTCCGGGTTCGAACCCCGGTCTGGCCGTGCATTTTCCTCTCCTGTTACAATACTTCCTATGGCAGGTGACTTATTACGCCAATTGAAATAAGGATTTTAAAAGAATAATCGGCAGAAATTGATAATAATTGAAAGAAAAGAATTACGTGACGTGCCGGTGAACAGAGAATAGATAGTATTCATGTTTCATCAATAAAACAAGTCGAGATTATGGAAATTTTGAAATGTTCCCCGAAAACAGTTTACTTCACATATACCACATAACATATTTCAATGTCGTATCAGAAGCTGTTTCAGTCGAACAGGTTCTGAATCACCTTAATTTATGGTGGCACTGTCTTAAATCACCAAACTGACAGACCTACCCCACTGAACACAGGAATCAATGTTTAACATACGCGTGTTACCTTCATTGGGTGACCATGGTTACGGAGAAAGAACCTCGAATGTTACTCAGAGTATAATAGTTCTTGCCCCCTGTCTTCACACCCCCTCACCTCTCTATCTTTAAATCCTGCATTATTCACCGTTTCTGGGGATGACAGTGGAGCTCATTGACTATCGATCTTTTTCTCACCTTTCTCACACACCTTTTGTATGCCCGTTTCGTTTCGCTATATATCTATTTTTGTCGTGACTCTGTCTCCGCCCCCTCCTCCAGGTGTGTTTCCTATTTTTTGTTTCCTCACCTTCATCACATGTTGGAGTTTATCGTCTCTGCCACTGTTTCCACTTCCAATATGTTTCCTATTGTTTTCAGACTCTCGTCTTATCTTTCTTGCTTCCTCGCCTTTCTTTCTCCCGTTGCTCCCTCGCCTTTCTTTCTCCCGTTGTTCCCTCGCCTTTTTTCTCCCGTTTTCCCCTCGCCTTTCTTTCTCCCGTTGATCCCTCGCCTTTCTTTCTCCCGTTTTTCCCTCGCCTTTCTTTCTCCCGTTTATCCCTCGCCTTTCTTTCTCCCGTTGTTCCCTCGCCTTTTTTCTCCCGTTGTTCCCTTGACTTTCTTTCTCCCGTTTTTCCCTCGCCTTTCTTTCTCCCGTTGATCCCTTGCCATTCTTTCTCCCGTTGATCCCTCGCCATTCTTTCTCCCGGTGTTCCCTCGCCTTTCTTTCTCCCGTTGATCCCTCGCCTTTCTTTCTCCCGTTGATCCCTCGCTTTTCTTTCTCCCGTTTTTCCCTCGCCTTTCTTTCTCCCGTTTATCCCTCGCCATTCTTTCTCCCGTTGATCCCTCGCCTTTCTTTCTCCCGTTGTTCCCTTGACTTTCTTTCTTCCGTTTTTCCCTCGTCTTTCTTTCTCCCGTTGATCCCTCGCCTTTCTTTTTCCCGTTGATCCCTCGCATTTCTTTCTTCCGTTGTTCCCTCGCCTTTCTTTCTCCCGTTGTTTCCTCGCCTTTCTTTCTCCCGTTGTTCCCTCGCCTTTCTTTCGTCATTCCTTGATTTATGTCTGTCTTTGTTCTCTCGCCTTTTTTCTTCATTTTCGATATATGTCTCTCGTTATTTATTCGTTTTTATGTCTTCATTCCCGATTTGTGTCGCTCGTTTACTCCTCATCTTTCTGTCTTCATTCACTATTTAAGTCTCCAGTTGTTCATTTGCCTTTCTTTCTTCATTCACGAATTACGTCTCTCGTTTTTTCCTTCGCCTTTCTTGTGTTCGCCTGCCTCAATCACAGTACATATCCACCGTTCAGTGGAAAACTGGTGCTTACTGACATTTCACTCATCGACTGGCTAGTGGTGATTTTAAATAACAGATCGTGAACGCATGAAGAATAGGATCAATATGTCGCTTTATTACACGATTAAAACAGCCTCGTAAAACAGCCCTACGCTAGTGAAACACTTCACGGACTGAGTGGAAGCTCCGCTCGGCACACAAACAAACGGCATAAACGACCACCGGAAATTAGCTAGAACAACTAAAACGTTAATAGTTATTACATAAGATCAGAAAAAGAAATTCCGGATAAAGAGAATGTTTAAGGGGTTGCTAGGGAACTCTATTTACATGGGATATAAACTTGTATTTATGATATCTAATTATCGGATATATTCAATAAGTGGCACAGCCAATTAAAAAATGCCACGGTCTCCGAGACTTTAAGTGTCGGTGTAACGTATTGACACGAGACAGTTATCATTTTCTGTTTCTCGAGGTTATTTTCTATTTTGTGACGTCATTTTTGATTGGTGACCACAAAATTAATATATATAACGGTCAAATAGTTATCTAGAGAGTACACTGTGATAAGTGTCTGGCATCAAAAGCATTTTCTCATTCTAAGGTTTATATCTGACAGAATACGCCAAACTACATTCGTTTTGTTAAACCATTGGTTTCTTCTTAATGTATACATTAATATAGTATTTTGTTCAATTTTTAATTTGAGTGTGGTATAAAAATTCAAATACTTACATAAACAATGCCTAAGTTAAAAAGATTAAAGATGGCGTCATTATCACAGAACGCCTAATACCATCACCCCGTCACCCCTGTTACCGAGAGGGGTATCAGGATTGTGGTCTTCGAGATGGTCGACCCCGCAAGAACACATGAGCATCCAAAAATGACTTGGAATCAAAATAAGTCATCAGCGTTGGCCGAGTTCCTTACACTAATCAACTGTGTGTATTACGCGGGAAAATACTGACCTATCGAAGACATATACAACAGGGCATCATACTTAATACTTCAGTTAATCCACCCCTTTGTGTTATTACCATGTGCTTGTTCATAGAATATCATGATAATAAACTGACCGGTTTAGTATACCTCTATTTCTTACACTCCTTAAAGAAATTATTGTGGAGGAGTTCGGTACGTGCGCATCACACTGAACTGTCTCCAACCACCGACCGACGTCAATATACGATTACTTACCTCAGTTTATTGTTTCATCATATTGAGTCCCATAGATTTCTAAAATCTAAATGATAGACCAGTTTATATCTATTAATTACTATCTAAAGGTAATGAGTCGTTGGTTTGTTATTATGTTAGACATCTCTGTAGATATATCAGTAAAGTTTGATTGTTTACCTTTAGTGTGGGCTACTGTCATTGTGTGTTTGTAAGACAAAGCCCAAAACCTCAAATCATGAAGACACTTTGCACTACCACTTACTGAAATATGTATCATGCTTCGTTTAATTTCAAATTGCTTCATTGACACTTTCCCCTTGTTTGCTTATTTCATTAAACAAAAACATAAATACATGTATAAACCTTAAGGAATGTTATTATGTCTTTGATATTTGAAAGATTGCCTCAGTGGTGCTGTATAAAATTATACTTACTATTGTGCAATAAATAGCTCATTTGAGCAAACAGTGGCTCTATGTGGCCATTTTGTCGTCTATTGTACTGGGGGTAACGATTGTTTCTCTCTTCATTGCAGGTGATCGCCGTGGTTTCAGTTTTCTTCATTGTGGTTTCAATACTATCCTTCTGTCTAAAAACTCATCCGGAGATGCGAGTTCCGGTCTTGCGCAACGCAACCTCAAATGCGTCAGACGGCAACTTGACATGGCGCCTGGAAAAACGGAAAACAGAGCCACACGAAGCATTCTTCTATATAGAGTGTGCGAGTAATGCCTGGTTCACGTTTGAAATTATCATTCGTCTAATAGTTGCTCCAAATAAGCTGGATTTTCTCAAAGCACCGGTGAATATAATAGATATAATAGCCACGCTTTCATTTTATCTGGACTTTCTATTAACAAGTCTAAAACAGGAGAGCGACATTCTGGAGTTTTTTAGTATTATCCGTATTATGCGGCTGTGCAAATTGACTAGACACTCGGCGGGCTTGAAGATTCTCATCCATACGTTCAAGGCTAGCGCCAAGGAGCTGATTCTTTTGATTTTCTTCCTCGTCTTAGGTATCGTGATCTTCGCGGCTCTCATATTCTATGCCGAGAGAATCCAGTACAATCCTGAAAATGACTTCACCAGTATCCCTGTTGGACTTTGGTGGGCTATTGTTACAATGACTACCGTAGGGTACGGGGATATGGCGCCTAAGACCTATGTTGGCATGTTTGTGGGAGCACTATGCGCCCTCATGGGCGTACTAACGATCGCCCTTCCCGTTCCCGTCATTGTCAGTAACTTTGCCCTCTTCTATTCCCATACGCAAGCGCGCTCTAAATTGCCGAAAAAGCGAAGAAGAGTGTTACCTGTAGAAGCGTTGCGCCCAAAAGGTCCCAAGGCGGCGGGGATGCCCGGGGGGCAGGGACCGACCAATAGGCGCATGAACGCCATCAAACAGAATCACCCAGGGGCGCTGAATACAAAAATTAGCCGAATAGGTAAGTATCCGTAGTTACAGTATACTTGATATAACAGAACAATATAAATAATCATGTTTGAAATTTATGTAATATTTCTGATAACCTTGTAGGTTTATTGATTCGAAGATGGACGTTTTACCCTTGTATTATAACATTTACGTAGAATGCATAAGAATATCGGGGTTAATTGACTATTTTGCTTATTTTGTTAGCTTTAATTAGTTTGAATGAGGCTATTATCCATAGGACCGCCTTATGTTGTATAAAATGGATGATAATAAATAGGTTCTATATGTGTAGTTTAGATTTAACATTACGTATGCTCTGGGCATCTGTAGACATACGTATAGAGCCGGGTTAATTGATCTGTTATTGATTTGTATATACTGTACTTATATGTTGATAAACCATTGTGTTTAAATAGTTTATAAATGAACTAGTGATATGTTTGTTGATGCAATGACAAAAAGATTCTGATAGCGTTTATCACTGCAAACTATATCAACACGGTAGCAACTTGTATATAAGCACAGACATATTATCATATAGCATCTTTAGAGTATTATATATATAGCCCGGTCATTGTGGACGCCATATTTGGTTACACTATATTTATATATATATATATATGTATGTATTATGTGATGCAGCATTGTCACTGATTGCATGTAGAAATTTACACAAAGTCTTCTTTTCAGAAATCATAAACTACACCTGGACCATTTCATTATTTTTTTATCCATCACATTCATCTTGAATAATTATCATATCAACATAAGTGAACGTGTCCCTGCGTTCCATACTTATATATCATATAAAACATTAACTTTGGTATCCAACATATGATTATATCATATGTTGATAATCTGCGGCGCGTCCAACCTCATCAGTCCGATTAAGATCGATGAATCACTTCAAACATTCATATGCTTGAAATTTACATTACTTCCGGTATTCAGTGCGCATCCTCAGAACCCTTGATGTTGACGTAGACATAGAGCCAATTTTTTTTTTATCTTTATTGCTACATGTTCCTGTTTATTTAGCAGAGTCAGGCGAGTTTTCTGTGTCCGTAAGCCCTCTCTTTCACTTTCACTCGTAATCAGTATTTTTTCTTGCCTTCAATGAAATGTTGAACATTTAATACATGTAATACAAAAATAGAACAAAACAATGCAACTTCGTCATCTTGCTAAAAAAAATGGTTTTAAATTTATATATACCATATGGTAATGATAACTTCAAACTTAAAATTATAAAATCGATGTTAAAATATCAAAAGAAACGTACAAATGTGGGGATATTTAATTCATAGAACCGGTATTGGGTGCCAGAAGCTGGTGATGATTTGAACTCAGTCGAAAGGCCATGATATCCCCGCTCTTCTTATTCAAAAAAGGAAAATTAAACTGATACTTTCACTTAGTAATTCACCAGCTTCACAAAATGATTCTCAGTATGCAAATATCACAATTACTCATTTATCAGAACAATCTACTTATGCATAGAAATACTGAAGACATACAGGAATGCGTACAACTGTTCAGTCAATCACTCACATGTAATCAATTACCACGTGAGAACGTGCATATATATTGAGCACAATATGGCCATGTTGGAACATTACCAGTAGTCTTGCTATTTGTATTTTCTATACGAAACACCAACGAAAATACACAGGTATTGCTTGATCTATGTCCTTAAACTTGACATTCCTTTGATATTCACGAAAAAATATAAACCGGAAGTTCGGTTGTCGAAAAATATAAACCGGAAGTTTGGTGGTTGTCGATACAGAAAACTCTGCTTGGCGACGTTTTGTTGCAAATACATGTTGTTGGATAATGTAAATCACTCTTATTTTTCCCTTAAGCCCAAGGGGGTGCTATCCAGGAAATGTTTCCTTTCCGTAGTAAGTTATCTTTATGTGTAGCGCATGAGCACTAGAGGTAGTCAAGGCAACATGCTATGCATGTTCATGGGTTCATGTATATATTATGTGTGCTGGAGGCAGGTTGCCATGGAAACACGTTTTGTATTGAACACCACCCTCACCTAAGAATCCGTGCACATACCAACCATATATCTCATTCTATTATGTATTGTATTATATTTTAGTACTAGTAGATACAGCTTATGACCAATAATCCGCTTCCGTTGGCGCATGTGCTGTATTGGTTTTGGTAGTAAACAGAGAGAAGTAGATGAACTTAGATCACGTTCTAGTAACCGCGCATGCCCCCGTTATATCGCCTCGTGTTTGTCCAATGAAAAGAGCTGGCATGAAATGACGTCATTCTGCCCTGATTGTTTGTACACCATTTCTGTAGAATTGAAGCTGTAGATTAACTTTATCGTCCATGCATCCTCATCCGTTTACCATGCTATATATAGCCACATCAACCATTTTGTTTTGTCTCATATAACAGTCAACTTCTCATCGCTTCATGACGTCACCATTACGTCACATGCTCCTCACAAAGGCAGCTTGTAGAATGCATAACAAGGACACGGGAGATGAAGGAAGTTTCTTATTTGCTGTTTGTTTTATGCAAGTTTGAATAATTGGAAATTTGATCGGATTTAATATAGTAGTATGTAAGCATTAGGTCGTCAGTGCTATCTACGTCACTTTGATAACGTTAACATACTCTTCGTTTTCGTCTGCCTATCACGTTCATACATTCATTATGATGATAAACAATGCTCGTGATTTATTTCTGTAGCGAACATAACACAAAAAATGGCACGTTTACGATTTTCTTACAATGCAGTTTTACATGAATCTGCCCACGTAATATCTGTTACCAATAATTACTGTCACGAATTCTAAACTCTAAAAGATTTCCTTTTTAAAGAAGTCGAGGCACAATTTGTTAAACTTCCATTTTTAATCAAGATTTTTGTAAGTATTTATCACTTGCAGTTGTTGCTGTGGAGAAAATACATATCAATTACCACAAGGAATGAAATACTATAAGAAAGACATAGAAATCAATTACATGTTTATATCAAGCCTGCATAGACTGATAACTAGTTGATTTCTCCGACAATTTATATCTATGCACAAATACTGCAGTATAATGTAATACGCCAACACGCCTAGTAAGAGGGATCAATACTACCAAATAGGTAGTTGTATGTTAATTATTTTGACCAATCAAATGCCGGTAATCGATATTCCGCGACAGCTGTATCGATTGTAGGCTGTGCGTCAAGCATGGCGTGTTTCGGGTTTGTTATGCGGCCAAAAACGTGATGATCGGGGAAATATAAGGGGCCAAACCGCGGTACACACACAAAGTTCGCGGGTTATCTAGTGGGGCATGCGCAGTCATTGTGTACCTTGAAGCTATATTGCATCTATCTAGTTTCAAATATGAGAACGAGTCCGTTTCTGTGTAACAATGTCGATGTTGAGTGACGCTAGGTTAGGTTATAAAGGGAAACACAGCTATGCTTAAGGATTAAGATAGGATACATAGACCAAAAGAATAAGGATTAGATAGCTATGCTACAGGAATATTTTCATAAGTAGAGAAAGATATTTCATATTTATAATACAGGAAATAGAAATACTGCAAACGACTCAAATCTTCGTCGACTACTAGTTACATGGAGTGCCACATGCGGGGCAAGTATATATACTTGTCTTTCGGATTCGCGTAACTCCTTTTAAGCCAACAATAAACATCTATGCTGCTTGTAGATTTAAATCATACGAAAACTTAAACCAATTCAACATTTTAAATTCAACAGAGTGACAGTATTTCACTGGCTCCAATTTAGGGTACAAACACTGCCTTTTTTTTGGAAAAAAAATATGACTTATAAATATATAAAATTCCGTTAACATTCAGTGACTTATAAACGAATGCCTTTAAACACGACATTTGATTTGTATAAAATATGTGTTATTCATTCAGAAAGAATAAGAGAACGTCTTTGAACAAGTGGAAAAGTCAGCTTATATGTCATGACCTAGACCCTTTATACCAACGTGTATTTACCGGATCTTTTAATTCGTTCTATAGGTTACTCAGAAAGTGTCCGTTATTCACACGGTTCAGTCAAAACGTATTTCTATGAAAGTTTGTCTCATTATGGTCATTTGTGATGCAAGTGTTTAGAAATTAAAAACCAATAAAACTCTTCAAAATTTATTCCAATGTCCTTCAGGTTATTACACATCACAGTCGGGACAGGTAATCGCATGAATTACTTATTATCCCCACACCACAGTTGGGACAGGTAATCACATGAATTACTTATTATCGCCTCACTCAACAGTCGGGTCAGGAAATCACATGAATTACTTATTATCGCCACACTCAGCAGTCGGGTCAGGTAATCAAATGAATTACTTATTATCCTCACACTCAAAAGTCGGGTCAGGTAATCACATGGATTACTTATTATCCCCACACAACAGTCGGGACAGGTAATCACATGAATTACTTATTATCCCCACACAACAGTCGGGTCAGGTAATCACATGAATTACTTATTAACCCCACACAACAGTCGGGTCAGGTAATCACATGCATTACTTATTATCACAACAAACAACAGTCGGGACAGGTAATCACATGAATTACTTATTATCCCCTCACAACAGTCGGGTCAGGTAATCACATGGATTACTTATTATACCCACACAAAACAGTCGGGTCAGGTAATCACATGGATTACTTATTATCCCCACACAACAGTCGGGACAGGTAATCACATGAGTTACGTATTATCCCCACACCACATTCGGGACAGGTAATCACATGGATTACTTATTATCCCCACACAACAGTCGGGGCAGGTAATCACATGAATTACTTATTATCCCCACACCACAGTCGGGTCAGGTAATCACATGGATAACTTATTATCCCCACACAACAGTCCGGTCAGGTGATCACATGGATTACTTATTATCCCCACACAACAGTCGGGTCAGGTAATCCCATGAATTACTTATTATCCCCACACCACAGTCGGGTCAGGTAATCACATGGATTTCTTATTATCCCCACACAACACTCGGGTCAGGTAATCACATGAATTACTTATTATCCCACACCACAGTCGGGGCAGGGAATCACATGAATTACTTATTATCCCCACACACAACAGTCGGGTCAGGTAATCACATGAATTACTTATTATCCCCACACCACAGTCGGGTCAGGTAATCACATGGATAACTTATTATCCCCACACAACAGTCCGGTCAGGTAATCACATGGATTACTTATTATCCCCACACAACAGTCGGGCCAGGTAATCACATGAATTACTTATTATCCCCACACCACAGTCGGGTCAGGTAATCACATGGATAACTTATTATCCCCACACAACAGTCCGGTCAGCTAATCACATGGATTACTTATTATCCCCACACAACAGTCGGGGCAGGTAATCACATGAATTACTTATTATCCCCACACAACAGTCCGGTCAGGTAATCACATGGATTTCTTATTATCCCCACACAACAGTCGGGTCAGGGAATCACATGAATTACTTATTATCCCCACACAACAGTCGGGTCAGGTAATCACATAGATTACTTCTTATCCCCACACAACAGTCGGGTCAGGTAATCATATGGATTACTTATTATCCCCACACAACAGTCCGGTCAGGTAATCACATGGATTACTTAGTATCCCCACACAACAGTCGGGTCAGGTAATCACATGAATTACTTATTATCCCCACACAACAGTCGGGACAGGTAATCATATGGATTACTTATTATCCCCACACAACAGTCAGGACAGGTAATCACATGGATTACTTATTATCCCCACACACAACAGTCGGGTAATCACATGAATTACTTATTATCCCCACACACAACAGTCAGGTCAGGTAATCACATAGATTACTTATTATCCCACACACAACAGTCGGGTACGGTTTAATAGGCACGTTTTCGATTTCGTCGCCTTCCCACATACGTTTCGGAAAACTCTGATCATGGATTTTTCATTATTTTGACCTTTACTTTTCACAGATGAACCCTAAATAGACGAAATAGCCATATAATTTTGCAAATAAATATTTCATTTGTTTTTTTCATTGACTTGATAAATTATAAAATAGTAGCTTCCTAATTTCGTATACTTGCTGACTATTGTGTGTATATGAACAGACAACGGTCGACATAATGAAGCGTCCGGTAGAAGCAGTACTGATATATCGGACCTGTTTGTTGGAATCGGTTCAACAGGTCCATTTAGAAGATGATGGGTATAATACATTAAGTATATAGCCGCAAAGCTGAACACGTCTTCGCCAACACGACCAGGCAAGGTCACGTGTCTGTAGCTGCTTATTAGCATAACACGAGCTATACAATCAATCAATTATCAGATGAAAGATGATAACGATAAAAACGTCTTGGCTAAGAGTAAGCACAGATTAAAATATGGTATACGTCATGATATTATATATATATTTTTTAAATGAATATAAACATTTTTACCTGAGGCTCATTGCCTCGTAAACGTGCAACATATTATGTTATTAAGTGCACATTTTTATGGGAAATACCTACTTTTTTTGGGAAATAGACATCTCATGTTTTAGTTATGATATTATAAATAAACACCAAAAGTACGATATCTTTGAAACTTGTTTGAGTCAATGTAGAAACCCATTTTTAAGCATTTACTGTACATCTTGTGACCAAACGTCTCGTAAGTGGTACTGAACATTAAAGGAGTGAAATCCATTTACAGGGATCAGTTATAGAACATTGTATCTAACAGTATTGTATTCAAAATGGATATCATTAAGAACATTGTATTTAACGCTGATCTGATTTAAAACATCGTATATACATGGGCCTGTTTTAGAACATTGTTTTTAACAGAATTGTCTACAAAACGGATCTCATTTAGATCAATT